CCCACGCCTTCAGCCCACTCTCCCCCCACCACACACAGCAAGAGGATGTTCTAGCTGGGAATCCGCTGATAGAAGTAGATGTAGCCCAGATCCTTGGGGGGCTTCTCAGAAGCACAGACTTTCTGGTCATTGTAGATTACCCACCTGCAACAGGGAGAAGGGGAACTCAGAGACGCCATTCTTTGCCTAAGACATGACTCGATTCCCCCTCACTTGCTCTCATTGCCAACCCCCCCAGACCTCTGAAGAAACAGGGGAGGACAGCGATTTCAAACTGTACCTCAGAGTCCCCTTATGCTGTGAAAATCCCTCTTACCTGCCATCTTTCTTGATGTGACAGACATAGTGTCCACACATAGTCGAAGTGCCCATGTGGCTGATGAAGGCAAACAGCTGATATTCTTGAGGGGGGGGAAAGAGAGGAGCATCAGGGAAACAGGAAATGCATCTTAATGCCAAAACACCCTGTGCAAGGCCCTCTCTAGAGGATCCCCTGAAGGAAGCTCTGCTGGGTAATAATTTAGAATTGGGTCCTCATCAAGCATGACTTGACCTTACGGCCAAATGTGCAGGGAAATAGATGGTAACTTCTTTAGTCTTCTCTCTTCCCTGAGTGCTGGGTGGGTAACGGCAGGGATTCCCCCTCCCAACAGCATGCAGCAGCCTACCAGCATTGGCACCAATTCTGCACATAGACTGGAATATGGTTTTTCAACTGCGGCCTGATGAGCAGAAAAGCCTCCCAGGACAATTGAGATGACGAACCCAGCCCCTCCCCGCTTTCCCTTGACGGCACTTCCTCTGCCTCTCTCTTACAGGCTTCCATGTAATCCCCAGCCTGAAGGGTCCAGGCCCTACACGGCCATCCCTCTCATTTTCCTCCCTGCTTCCACCTCAGCAACCAGACCAGCTCTGTGGCAGCTGCTGCTGCTAAAACCCACGGTACCACATGGATTAGGGAGGATAAAGCCAAGCTGCACCCCTGAATCCGCATTCCTACTGCTTGGAACTCACTTCCGGGTCCATCGCGCACTTTAGGACCCACAGGGACAGATTCAGAGATGGACTCAGCTGCTGAGCGCCCCTCTGAGATATCCATAGCAGCTTCTGCATCAAGGTCATCAATGTGACTAAAGATCCAATCCACAGCACGCTCCAGACTGTTGTTCTGGAAGGAAGAAGAGAAGACTGTAAACTTGGGAATGCTTGTTCCCAAGAGTATCCTTTCACTCTGATGTCACCTATGCCTCTCACCGTGGCTCTAAGCGCTTTCATAGCCTGGTCCCGCGAGAAGCCCATGGAGACAATGGTGGCCACGCTGTCTTCTGAAGGAGGGTCTGGGCAGGCAATAGTTGACCCTGGTCCACTGGATCCAGGGAGAACTAACGGGTTAGCAAAGTCTGCAGCAGAAAACAGAACATGGCTCAGAGCAGTTAGACTTCTCCAAGAGGGATACAGGCCAAGCTCCCAACTACTTCAGTTTTCCACTGCTGTAGTGGGACAGGAAGTACAACAGCCCACATGTAATAAACTTCACCATGGCCATGTGGTCTCATACCTGGATCATCCATATGTGACATGACCCAGTTCATGGCAGCCTCAACCCCACTGTTCCCTGTGTAATACACAGCTTTGCGGCAGGCATCCATGGGAAAGCCCATCTCCACTAGCTGGATAATCACTGACTCATCCAACATGGGTGCTGTGGGAAGACAAAGATTAGAGCCACCCACTCCCACCCAGCTGTGCCTGCTCCATTTTGCGCAGTGTCACACAGCCTTCCCAAGCCACCGTTTCCTGGCTTCGTTTCACCCAAGTTCTGTCTCTCTGCTCTTCTCATCCTTTGCTACCTTCCTTCTTCAGAAGTGCAGGCTCACACACAGGCACCCCAGGGAACAAAAGGATTCAACTCACGAACTCAGGAGCACTGGCTCTTCCCTACCCTCCAAACCCCACCTCCCACTGTGGTTTGTGAAAATAAAATACCTCTACCAGTTAAATCTTGTGTAAACCCCAGCTCTGCCCCCTCTAAAAGCACTAGACATGACACTTCCCCATCTTTCACAGAACAGGAATCAACAAACTCCCTTGCATAACACCCCTGCATAACAGGCATGCAAGGGAGGCAGCCGGCATTCGCTGACAGACGGACAGGGAAAGTCTGAGCAAGTGGGAAACCACTAGCATGGGAGACAAGACAAGGAGAGCAAGGAAACAAGTCAGGCATCAGGAAAAGAGGAGGAGAATCACTAACATGTCGGAGAGGAGAAGTGAGGGGAGCAGAAGGAGTCGTCGTCCTCGTTGCCATAGAACCCCAGGCTACCTTTGGGCTCATCTGGTGTCACCAGTGGGGGTGCAATGTCTGGCATTTCTTCTTCTCCATCTTGCAGCCCTGTTCCCTGCAGTGCAGAGATATCCAGCTCCTCTGGCATTTCAATGGAGACATCTGCAAGATACAGCCTTGCTCAGCCTCCCCATAGGGGCAGAAACAAAGGACTTGCTTGGGAGATCTAGAAGGGTAAGTCCCTGGGGATGCAATACGCTACAGTCTGCAGCTCCTTTTGGGGTAGTTATCTTCCTCTTTGCAGTAATGACCACAATACCCATATATGACTCCCAATACCTATATGCTCTGTACTTCTCATCCTTCTTACCAAGCTTTTTGGGCACCCAGTCCAGACCAAAAGTGAATTTCTTGATCTGGATCACCAGATAATCCGGGAAAGAGGCAAACCGTGTTGTTCTGAAAGAGACAAATAATACTTTTAAATACTTTGCCAGCAATGACTGAGGGCACCTAGTTGATTCAAGACACCAGTGAGTAGGGTGGAGGCACGTCCTAAGGAGGGGATACACAGATCTGTATAGGTCTCCTATGCTGAGCTTAAAGCTCCTCAAACACAGAACCATTTCTAAAGCAGAGGCTCTGACCAGATGAGACAGAATGCAGCATGTACAAAATCTTGGGGGATGTGGAAAAATAGTACATGTTCTCTACCTTCCAATCCTGTATTTTACAAGCCTCCTCAGATTTTAGTATTTAATTAAAAGCCTAACCCTTAAGGAATGTAGAGGAAATAACATCTTTTATTAGACCAACAGATACAGCTGCAGGAACTGACAAGCTTTCAAGCACAAGAGCACTTCTTTGGATACAAAGCAGAAGCAGTGAATTTTAAGCTAACTGAATTTGATTGAATATTATTTAGTTACACAATTTGAGAGAGAGGGTGTCTGGCATCTGTGAAACAGAGGGGAATGTTTCTGAAGGGAGAAGCAATCATAAGAGAGACAGATACTTATTATCAGGGGATAATTGTAACATGCCATAAAATTAATTTAAGTAACGGTATATATTCAATGCTAATTCTTACAAAGTGTTTGAACACAACTCACTACTTAAAAGCAAAACAAAACCTTACTTTTCAGTGTGATTGTGTTACTGACTGTGTGTTTATAGTAGCTATTGCTTAATAACAGAGTATTTGTTAGAAAAACACTTCCAGTTCTCCGAAAACTACTCTTTCATTGCAGAACAGTCAGTAGCATCACAACAGGAAGCTGCTTAAGTTTGTAATCTTCTTGCTACACCTTTGCGCTGTTGCATGTGCTACAGGCAGTGAGAAAAATTAAAACTGTTTTTTTAAATCTTGCTATTAGCATTTAAGTTAGCATTAAAGTAACTTATGCGTCTGTTATAGTCACTGTTTTGCTCAAACTTTAACAGCTAAAAACTTCCTTTAAACAAGTTTTAGAGACCATGCAAGACCAGCGTTGCCATACTGTCAGTACTGATTTTAAAGCTAAATTTTGAATTTAGAATAAAAGCTGCTAGTTTTCAGGACTATCACCGTATTTTCATAACCCCTCAGCAACTGAAATCTGATGGTAAGGATTTCACTAGCACTGCTGTTCTGCCCACTGAAATCCCCTGAGAGCAATCGCTCCAGCACTGACTGGTTCCCCCTCTGCTTCAATGTTCTATGGGTCCAGGGTGTGGAGGACTACAAAGCTTTGGTAAACACTTCTTCCCCAAGCAACTAAAAGAAGTCCCCAAAGATGCAGCTATTGCCCGTTTGTCATAGCCTAACTGGTAACTGACACACACTCACTTGAGAGCCACAGACTTGGCCTGCAAGGCTGTGCTCCAGAAATCATCCACCTGCTCTGGAGCTCCGTAGGCCTCTAGGCAGGAGCTGAAAGGCACCTTGGCTCGCACCAGCTCAGGCAGTGGCTGCTTTTCCTCCTCTGCTTGCCGCTTCTTCTCCTCATATTCCAGTAGTTCATCTAGAGAATAAAGCAGAGGAGTCAAGGACCATCTCTAGGTACCTACAAAGCAACAGGTGTAAGCTACACACAGAGGCAGAATAGGCCTGTAGATACACGCCATCAAGAATGAAGCACAAAGTAGACAATGTCTTCCAGAGCACTGTTCTGCTACTGGAGTTCTCTTTTGCTTTTGAATCGCAGCCCAGCTTGTGGTGTTGGACGGAATGGCTCTAGAGGGACATCACCATGTCACACCACCTCTGAAAAAATAAAGCTCAATCCCACAAAAGCAGGCAAAGGATCAATCTGGTTTCATAAGTGGCAAAGCCAGTCCTTGAGGAAGTCCCTTTCTCATTTAAGGAGTTCTGTAATAAAAGTACAGTATCTAAACATGATGTTTGCTACTGTTCTGGCTTTAGCATGTTACTGACCTTTGTTGAGTGCAGCATCCATGGGCACGGGTAGCTGCATAATATAGTCCACACGCTGGGTATATTTCACCTTTTCTGTGGCCAGGCACTTCAGTTTCTCCTCGACCAGAAAACGGAAGACCTCGTTAGGGTTCTCCGAGCTGCGGCAGTTCCTCTGAAGGAGGAGAGGTTAGAAGGATAGATGTAACATCAGAATGGCAGAAATAAGTATCTGCAGTAGCAGCGGTGCCACCTAGGACATGGCTACAGAGTATTTACTTCTGTACCCAGTCCACTGGAAAAGACAGCAAAGAGGAACTAGAGCCAACTTCTGTAGCGCAGGAACCCATGCCATGCCTGCTCCTAAAGACGACAATTTACATCTCCAGCTGTGCCACTCCCAAAAAAGATTCCTCCAAGGAATCAGCCCTGAACACATGGCCAAGCATCTCTCCTTCTCTGCTCACGCAGGTGCTAGCTGGCCCATTTTCCTGTGTTCTCTCCCTCTCTCTGCTCTGATTGCCAGCTTCTCACCTCCGCTCCTAACCCCTGCTGTGGGGAGAAAACAAAGCTGGGCTTTTCCATGATTTGATAGACTCAACCATTACCTCAACCATGTTGATGAAGTGCAGAAAGAATTCTTGGGCGTCCTGCTGTCGGTTAGTGGAAAATTCTGGGTGCCCCTTTCCAATGAGGGATTTAAACATGCGTGGAGCAATGCCATTTTGCATACCCTAAAAATAACAAGGTGGAAGAGGAAGGTGGTCATAATTTGCCAAGCATGTGTCCTGCCACTCACCCATGCTTTTCTTCAGGTCACAGGGCCCTGGAACAAGCCCCAGGAAATGTCTTCAGAAAGGGTTCTCCCTCCTTCCCCATGTAACATACACAATACCTCACGCAACACACACACCATGAAGATGCAGTATCCAAGTCTCACCTTCTGATCGGGCTGCTGCTCCCCATCTGCAGAAACCGGCTTTGAGTACTCCCCAGAAAGTAGTCCATGGCCCAGTTTGGCTCTGGAATGATGAAGAAGTCATTGTTAGCATCAAAAAGATTTCTTCAATCCCACAAACTCCAGGAGCCACACCAACCCATCCAGCTTTAACACTGCCATGGACTGTCAATCTCACAGAAATCAGTGTTCTCTGCTGTACCAGCTGAGATCATCTTATCTCAGTCTGCTCTCTGGTCCCATGAGACATCATTGACTAGAAAGTTACTAGGACTTCTGGGCACCGATCTCAACTGCTGCTTGCACAGCATATCCATAAAGAAATGGCTTCCTTTTCCCCAGAGAAGGGCAGCTGGTGCTGAGCCACCCAGCAGCTGCGTAACAGCCAAACTAAGCTGCAGCCTGACATGGGTAAAGCAGCAGTGCATCTAACTGATTGTGCGGGAGACAACAGGACAGAGTGAAATTGCCTGAGCCAGAAATAGCATTGCTGTGAGCAGACTGATCACATTTTCCCAGGGGAAAGATCAAGAATGACTGCATGAGGCACTTAATGGACAACACTAACAGCGATTTCCTCCTATGCTCAGACTCTCCTACTATTCCACTTCAGTCCTTCCCCATCACTGTTGCCATTTGTCTGGAACTAAACCCTACCAATTCCTCCTTTTGCCCAGGCAAGTGTCTTTCTGGCTGTCTCAATTTAATCCCCTCCTCAGTGAACAGGCTCCCCAGGCTGTCCAAATTTAGAATCCTCCCTTACCGCTGAACTCCCTTCCACAAATGCCACCTTCTATTCCTCCACCCCAAACCTCCATATAGTGCTTTGCTCTTTTAGAGCAGATGTAGCAGAGAATTCATGTATTTAAAATGCAACACTCTCCCAAATCTTATATTCCTTCTATACATTCTCCTGCTATTGCTCACACAATACCTCTTGCTGGAAATCTCTGTAAGCATATATAAATTATCCACTGAGAATAAAGTTGCCTAAATCTATATATATATCTCTTTGCTTGTAGCTATCTCCCTCCGTTGCAGAGAACAAGCACCTTTTTGCTGTTACGAAGATAGAACGTGCCCACCAGAAATCCCCCCGTGGTAACAGATGGTACTGCGTTCCCCACATAATACATTTAAGGGCCTCTCATGAACGCTGAGGTGCACTCTGTCCTCTCCATCTAGGGCATTCAGCTGAACTTTCCTGGCTTACATCCTTATTGATCACTGAGGATCAGTGTCTCTGGTGATGGACATGGAAACAGAGAGGCGAGGCTTGAGGGAGAAACCTGCAGCAAAGCACACTGTAGCAGCACAGAGGTCGGGACGCACCCAGGCAGCCTCAGCCTTCCTTCTCTCACCAAAACTCTACGTACACTTGTGTGCTGAAGTCCTGTGTGGGGTCCGAAGGTGCACTTTGGAATATCTTCTCCAGCTTGTCCACATACCTGAAAAAACGGAACAATCTAAGGGACGTATGGGTTCATCTAGTAAAGACACAGTTCTGAGCCTGATCACGGTAACAGAAGCTCCCAGCTCTAGGAGACCTCTGTATCGATCCCAGGGGAACCCAGGCCAATGAAAATGAGCGATTAATCACACTTACTTTCTCTGGAAGTCTGGGATACTGAACAGCACCTGCATCACAGAATTGAGGTAGCAGCTGTTGCCCAGGTTACGGATACCAGTGTACCCAGGCCCATAGAGGGGCTTGAGCTGCACGCCAGACTCCTGGATGAGCTCCCACTCCCCAATGCGCTGGTTCATGTCTATTTCCAGTTCTGTCATTGTCTTGTCTGTCTGAGGAGGGAAAGAACAGGAAAAACCCTCAAAGAAGACTCAAGGGAACATCAGAGCAGTGAAAAGGACAATGCTGTAGAGAAACATAAAGAGTCAAATCCATTCTGTTTTATTAAATTAGAAGAGGAAGATACAAGAATTGATCTGAATACCTGGGACAGAAGGAGGAATGATGAGAAACATAGGAGAAATCTGAACCATCCCCTGTAAGGGGGCACGGAAATCACACACTAACACTGAATCTAGGGAGCAAAGCTCAGAGCCTGGGAACCTCCCTGCCTACAGTACTGACACAGAACCCCAAGGAAATGAACCTGAGGGACAGGAAAGAAAGGGGAAAAAGGCAGCGAAAGAAGAGAGGCAGATGACGCAATGCTCTGCCTGACAAAAAAACAGGGTTTCTTTACCAGGAATGGTTCTGCATAGCCAAAGAAAGCTGGGATCCAGCTAAGAAACCTCAGAGTTGCTTCTCTCCCCATCTAGGCCTATGGAGGACACCCCCCACCCCCTGCCCTCACCTTCTGCATCTTGAGCATGTCAATTCCAAAGTGAGCAAGGTGTTCTGCCAGGTTTGGATCCAATACCATGTCATCTTCGTCGTAGGAGTAGACATCTATGCAGGAACAGAGAAGAAAAGGAGAGACTTATAATGGCCTGTGATCTAACATTCACTGCTGGATGAAGACAAAAGAGTGCTCACAACTAGGAGGTTTGACAAACTGAGCAGTTGGGGTTTCTCTTCTTTCTCAGGAAAGTAGCATAACAGACAGAATACTGAAGTTCCTTCAAAACACGTGACAAGACAAACAACTTTGTCATCAATCAAGGTAGAGAGGTATGTCTGGAGTGAGGAAAGTCGGTTACTGTGCCATATACTCTCTACTCGGGTTTTGCACGCAAAATTATTTGATAAACATCCCACCACAGAAAATAAGATGGCAACCTGGATAACTATTCTAAAACCCTCCAAATTACAAGGGAGGGGAGGAAGAAGACAAGGTTTTATCAGCTGGTTCTTTGCCTGCCACAAACTGTGAAAGTTCATGATAGGATGACACTGAATGTTCCAGATCATAAGATGGGCAACACCAGCCTGATTCCTGGAAATCCTTCCTGACTTGCCTCGTCAGAGACCACAGTCAGCCTGAGTGGTGCCTGGCATCTATCACCCCCACAGGATCCCCCCTCTCACCAGCCCCATCAGGAGTAATTGTTCCCAGTTTCACAGCCAGTGGGTAGCCAGTTTCCCGGTAATGCTCGACCGCATGATTGTTGCCACCACTGCCATCAAAATAACGCCGACCACAGAGGATGGCTCCATCGGTCATATTCAGCCACAGGTTCTCCCTCATGTCACACTTGCTGCACTTCCAGCCACTATTGAGAAGGAACAGAGAAAAAGAGATTAGGGTGAAAACCTTTGGGTTCTACCTCCCAAGCTCTCTCCATTACTACCCACTGACCACTGCATAAGCAATCTCATTCGTCTTTTACTTTGGAACACTGAGTATCCTGAAATACCTTAGTTTGCCATTTCCCCTGAATTTAGTACGACAAGGCACACTCAGAGACTCACAAAAGAAGTCTCATCTGCTGCTGCAGTCCAGGACAGGAGAAGAAGGTGATGGGGTGGATCTGGGATACAGAGCAAAACAGCTAGTTTCAGTACTATGCTCACCACGGTGGGATGCGGACATCATTCTGAAGCTGTTGCAGGGAAAAAGCGTGTTTGGAAACACGTCGAACCTCCCCATCCCAAGCCTGCACCTCCTGCTTCCGTGAGGCTGAATCTGCTGTCAGGATCGCCTCGATCGCACTGGCAATCTGGAATTAGGACAGCAGGAAAAAAATGAAGGGCAGAAGGAAAGAAGCTTCCAGTGCCACAACACTCCACATTTAGGCTCAGATTGGCAAGTCAGTTGTGCTAGGGCAGCCTTCAGGAGCCTCAGTCACAAACCAGGCCTCTGTAACATAAATCATAGAATGGTTCTGCACTGTATAAGTGCAGAACAACCCTGCTTACTGCAAGCTGAGACTTCGCAACAGCTCTGCAGGATCCCTTTCACAGGACAGCGGTTCCTTCTCCGCAATGGTGCATTTCCTCCTTTCCAATAGAAAACACAGCCCTCCGCCAAACATACCCTGTCTCTGACCATGTCTGGTAGTCCCTCCAGACCTTCACGAGGAATATCCAAATGCTCTGGGAAAATTACTATTTTTACATCTTCATCATATTCAAACTTTTCCTCTGTGATGTCAAATCCACCTTCTACACCTACAGGAAGAAAAAAACCCTTTGTGGTAACAGGTAAAACCAAACAGCTTGCAAAGCTTCTTTGCCCACAGCTTACATGAAATAAGGCACCATGACTAAGGCAAAGCTCTAGATCAAAAATCCACAATCTTCCTTCCATTTCTGGATCCCAAAGTTTCTGCTGGTGGTGTGGACTTCACAGGAGAAAATATAAGCCTAGTGACAATAGGTCTGCTTTTCCCAGCTCTTTTTACAGATGCTTAGAAGGAATCACCAGACCCTCACTACAACCAGAAAAAAGACCTGCTCTATAGAGACATTGTCCAGAACAGAGCCATGATAAAGCACTGCTGTTTGTCCTTCACATTATATCCAAGATTATGAACGGAGATGTGCATGAAGAGGTCATATTCTAACCCTGTGCAAAGGTCTAGTCTATCAGCATCTGTAAGGAGCCTGGCTCTGCTTCTTGCCTCTTCCACGAAGGACAGTTCAGAGTCCTGAAATTAAGCAAGGCAAACCAGGAGTTCCTCTGGAACCAGAACATCCAGAATTACAGAAAAAAAGTCTTAGGAAAGGTATAGTCCTAGTAGTTGCTCATGCCCAACTAGCCATGCTTTCCAGAGATTGCAGCAGAAATGGGGGTACCATACATAACAGGTTATTTGCCAGTTGTCAAGAGCCATGGTGGTCACTCACCAAAAATATCTGCAGTGGAGGGACCTGTTTCTGATTTATGTAGGTACTTGGGAAAAAACCTTGGCCCTTCTCCAAGGGCGTTCTTCTCCAAGCGTTCACACCTTACATCCCAGAAGGAAACAGGCAGAAGACACATTACGTACTAGCAGCCTTAACTCTCTGTGGGTTTTTTCAACTGAATTTCCTTTATTTCATTAAAAATCGCATGCTGATCTCTGAAGACCTGTGGCTGCCACAGATCGCTGAAGGGAATATGAGTTTTTGCTGTTTAATGCCTCAGCCTCAAGAACCCTGTTTTCAACACAGTTGTGATAACCATTACTGCATTTAGTTAAAACATTGGCAAGAATACCTGGTTCCCACAATATCTCCCGCAACTCCCCCCTCAAATACCTACATTTTTTAGACTATGCACAAACTGCCGTTTATGAATGCAGATGCTACAAGCCTGAGTGGTTTTAGAAATACCTGAAAACAGTCACCAGCATCATGCAACAACATACCCAGATAGTCCTGTGCCTCTTCAGCACATCCCAGAGAGATCTCCTGCCATCATTTCATAGAGTAAAGCAATACACAATCCCTCAGGGTATTACACAATTTCTGAACTCTAAACAAACTAAAAAAGACTGCTGAAGTGGTTATATGAACCTGCTGAAGCTTCAGATGAGGAAGAGGGTCTTCAGTCAGCAGACTGCCTCCTAGCCCTTTTTTCCCCCTATACAGCCAACAGTTTGCCATGAAGGTGCACTGCCTCCCTCTTGGTGGCTCTATCTGAGCACCACAAACTCCACAAGTCATCCAACCGACACGCTGGCATGGGAAGTGAGCACTACAATTTTTTTTTTTTTTTCCCATGGAGAGGCAAGCTGAGGTACAGAGAGATCAAGGACTACGTTTTGCAGTCAATGACATTTTGTTCCTACATCTTTCTAGTACTTTTAAAAATCTCCCATGTCAGGATTAGGTAAACCAGCACAGTTTAGCTAAAAGAGAGGAAAAAAGAAAAAAATCTCTCCTGGATTTAAGATCACTGCCTCAACCACAGGCCTAATACTGTCTTTTATTCTCTCCTGTTATATTCACGCCACTAAGCTGTTATCACAGGCAGCTATTTGCTGACCCAGGGACAACACTTGAGACGTCTCAAGACCTTCGTAGAACTGAGGATGCAGAAATAACTTGTAATGCAGACTGGGCCTCATCTCTCCAAAAGCAGCATAATCATATACATAAAAGCACTGCCTAGCTGAAGAAACGTAGATTCTAGTCTCAATTTTGCTAGAAGTGACCTTTGGGACTTCATTCACCTCACCATAAAAACAGGGAGCAGTCAAAAGTCTTGATGTTGGTGTTTGGGCTGTGGCAGCAGTGGAATCACTGGGCATCTGCTACACAATGGCACAGCCAAGGAAAAAGTGAGCAAAAAGCAAGACGTGCACAGTCCAGGTTCCGGATTTCCCTCTAGTGGTCAGCTTCCAGCAAGCCAAGAACCTGTTACTGCTAAAAAATGTTCTTATCCTCTGCTTTATAGATCTCCGTAATGGTTAAGAAATTACTAGTCAAGACTGCTCCAAATAAGCAGCATCTTCATTGATTGCCATGACAGCCTTTGAAGTTGGTGCAAGACAGTAATGGAACACCATCCCTGTTCTTCCAAAAAAGGGCTTGATTTTTGTATTTTAATGTTCATATGTATTTCCTCCAGTATCAGCCTTGTATTTCAAAGAACTATCGAGCCCAAAATGTTAAGACAGCATTTACCAGTAATTTCTTCCCCATCTAGAGAAATAACACCAGTTCAATATCTGAGAAGTTGAGAAAATAGTTTTTTCTATCAGAAACTTCAAACTTACTTCAAACTTCAAACTCAGACTTAGACGACTTCTCAAACTTACTCCAGCCCCATACATCAACATAATACAGACACATCCATATTAAGCAACGGTTATACCCACACCAAGCTGAGTCAGCCACAGAGTTAAGAGAGGATGCAAAACATATTTACCTACAGAAAAGATGATGCAACTTTGAACACAGCACGAAACTACCACCTCAACAACTGTTTTGCAGAAATACCCACCTAAGACACACTAGAAAATGTGACGTTTAAATTCGGTTGGGGATACTAGCTTCAACTAGCCCAAGATGAGGAAAGGCAAAAGTGACGTGTCATGAAGCCAGGCAGCTCCAGAGGACTGGTCCAAAACAACAACGACGATATCATACGCAAGTGCTTTCTTACCAATAGCCAAACGAGTTGGTTTCTTCCTTGGTGGGTCCCCAGCACTGGAGTTGGTGTCTTCTTCCTTCTATTTCATTGAGAGGAAATGGGGAAATAGAGTTAGGGGGACAGGCAAGCTGTGGCAAGCCGTAAGGATTGAAATTAAGCTACTCTGAAAACAGAAAGAGGCAGAAATAGCATGGGCAATCCATACAACAATTCAACATAAGCAGAGCTGAAGAACTGATGAACCTCAATTCACCAAGAAAAACATCAGTTATATTTGAGGAGAGAAAACTCTGATTGAATAGAGAGACATATCCCAGCTCTCAATTTCAGAACAAGTTTGATTGTATATATTTTTATTTTTTACCGGTTTACGTGTTCTTTTGAGGTGCAGATAGACCCGCTGGCCTGTTTTCTGATAGTGCTTTTCCACATATTGCTTCCCAAAGCCCAGGAATGTGTTCATGCAGATATACAAGCCACCATCTGACTCCTGGAAGGAAGGAGAGATTAAAACTGAAGGGAGATGGTAAAGAATGCCATTCCAACTGCTAGGATAGACCTCTAGGAATACTATTCATTAAATCATGGCTACAGCTCATTCCTACATACCAGCCACTTAATAGCTAGTCTGAAATAAGATGGCAAGCCCCAGTCTGGCTGCCCCAGAAGAACAGGTACTCAAGTCAAGATGATGTATTTGAAAATCTATTTGCCTGTTCATTTATGGCAGGTTGCTACTGAATCAGGAAAGCCTGAGCGAGACTCCTCAGAAGCTTGTATCTCGCAAAAGGTCCTTAGCATGCACAGTTCACACTTTCAGAGCATGGTACAATCGTTACCAACAAAACCGTGGCACCCTGTCTGAAAGCGTAATTCCCAGTGCTGTAGGGAAGTCTGCCAAGCTACAGTGCAAGGAAGGTTAACAGACCACTGTTTATTTTTGCTGCTGCATTCAAAAGCTTACGAGTAGCTCCAAAACGGATACGGGATGAGCCCTCCTCATCCCACAAGCACCTGGAAAACACTACACTCATTCAGCAGAGATACTCTTTCAAAAAATCAAAGAGGCAAGGGACCCAAATACAGAGGCTGGAAAGGAGAGAAACCACTAAGAAGCTCTCAGCCTGCTTTCCAACATTAACCACCTGGGACAGAGTCAGAGCGGGGAGCACATGGACAGGCATCACCGTGGGGCTCGGGAAGGGAAA